TATATATAATAATACAACAGTCACCTGTTGTAGAGATGACTATTTCCCTGCCTCTTAAACCTGCATGTGCTTCAGTATGAATTGTGAGTGATGTAATTCTTGGTTTTCCCTGACTTTATCCCATCAGCTGATGTTGTCAAGGACAAGAGTCACGTGATGTATGAAGGCAAACACATACACTTCTCAGAGGTGGACAATAAGCCGTTGTGCTCATACAGCCCAAAGCTCTGCAAGCAGCGCAGACTAAATGGCTATGCTTTCTGTATCCGGCACGTCCTGGAGGATAAGACAGCCCCCTTCAAGCAATGTGAATATGTGGCCAAGTACAACAGCCAGCGGTGTACCAACCCCATCCCCAAGGCTGAGGACCGCAGGTGTGTATGTCTGTGTGCGTCACATCACCGCCGTGTGGGGAAAATACATTATGTTACAGGTGTGCTGTGCGTAGTATGCTGAGGATGTGTTTTTTTTTTTTTTTGTTTTGTTTTCCAGATACTGTAACAGCCACCTGCAGGTTCTGGGCTTTATCCCCAAGAAGGAACGGAAAAAGAAACATGATGCTTTGGAGGATATGCGCTCCCGGGCTCACCTGGAGTCGGTGGCTCTCAACATAACTGTGCCCTCTCTAGCTCTGAAAACTTCCAATGGTCTAGGTGAACTTCCGCCGTCTCCCCCCTGTACACGTCTGTTACCCCTCCCTGATGGAGAGCTACTGGACCCTTTTGCCTTTTACGAGGACGACACGGATGGGGAGGAGGTGGGCACTCCTCGGAAGGGCAGCGCCATCAAGAAGAAACTACAGAGTCGCCTTGTGCTCAACCAGAAACTCTGCCATGACACGGACCTCTTCCAGCCACCTCTTGAGCACTTTACTCCCTCGCCTGTCCCCCATGTCCACCCCTCCTCGCCGCTCAACACTCATCTCCCACGGCAGCAGTCAGGTCTTCTTCAGCCGCCCCAGCACTCGAGCGTGACATCTTCAATCTTCCCCGGACAGCAGCAGGGTTTATTATGCAATCCACCACCACCTCAGACGGTCAACTTTCTGCCTCCACGGATACCCGCTAATGCAGCACCCAGTCCAGTGCAACCTTCTGGGCCATCACTCAGCAGGAAAATGCCTTTCACTGCTACTCACTTGCCTGTCAGTTGCAAGGACAGTGGCAGTAACAATCAGCGGCATGTGGTTGTCATGCGTCCCGCTGCCTTCTCACCTTCTGCCAGCTGCCTGGCCAGGTTGCAACATCTGGTGCAGCTCTGTGCCAAGAGACACCGGGAGCACGGAGACCTCTTTCCTCATTTAGGTGCTTCATTTAAAAGCATTTACAAGCAGTTTGTAAACTCAGTGTGATTATCAGTGTGTGAGGTGCTTCAGATACTGTGTAGCAGTTGAGATTTGAGCCTGCTGAGATATACGAGCCGTTCTAACAAGTTCTCTTTCAGGATTGGACTGGTCAGAAGACAGTGCTGATGATGATGATGATGATGATGATGAAGAGGAGGCGGAGTCATGTATTCCATTCCAGAGCTCTTGGAGACCACAGAATGGGTCGGTATCCAGATACGTAACCCCGCAGTATAAACTTTGACCTGACGCTTCTCGCCGTGACTGCTATATATATATATATTTTTTTTTTTAAATATAGGTTGGAAGACGACAGTGGTTCCTCGCGGAGAACGCGGCTACTTAGGCTTTGCTCGTACCTCCAGGAGAAATACAAGCACATGTGCAGGGAGGAGAGGGCGAGTATCCGCCAAAAGAGATACCGCTATGCCTTCCGCAAAGCCTTGCTGCACGCCGCCAGTAACAACCCAGACTGTGCCGGGCAGCTGATCCAGGAGTTACGTGGTGCCTCTCGAAGCTCCTCAAGGTATTAATATATTACATATTATAATATATAACATATTTGTTAGTTTTGTTTATGTCTCTGGACTAACATAAATACAGTAAGATCAAACCCCATGTGCTGGTAGGTTAAACATTCATAACACCCTCCATCACCCACCTGTACATTAGAAATTCAGTGTTATGTGATTTCCAAAATAGATATGGTTTCATCCAGTGTTTTTTATATATATTTATATATGTGCAACCAGCAATGTGTGCCACTTATATGACTTACTTGTTGGTTCTCTAATCTTGCAGTCTTCATCTCCTAATTAGAAATGTACAAAAGACAAGAGCTGTGGAGTGTTGTTGCTGTTTGCTCACTCCTGGGTCTGTATGTCTCTACAGTGCGGCTCCAGCAAGGCAGCAGAACACAGATACGGGGACCTGCACTGGCAGCACAAAGGGCCAGGTCTGCAACAACAGGGCTCTGCCCTTCACTCAACACTGCTTTCAGCGTATCCTTTCCACCACGTCACTGATTGTACAGCTGCTGGCGACAAGTGCAGAAGAACGACTGTGATTCTGTTTAGTCATTTAAAATATGGTTTTATCAAATTCAGTTGTACCATGTTTTTTTAAAATCACACACTGCGATGTGCAATATCTCTGTGCGATGTGTGACATATGCCACATGCACTCTGTCCTGTATTGTTATTTCCTTTATTGTTCTCGGTAGACATCCTGTTGAATCGTTCCCAGCAGCTCTTTGCTAGCTGCACAGCCAAATTTGCAGATGGTCAGCAGTGCTCCATCCCCGTGTTTGATATCACACACCAGACACCACTCTGTGAAGAGCATGCCAAAAAAATGGTGAGTTCAATATTTAAAAGAAAAGCTCAGCATTTTGCTAAATCTGCTTTTTTTTTTTTTGCAAAGTTACATGAGAATGTCATGTCTGTACAATAAATAGGTACTAATTCAGCTTAGCACAATGACTGGAGACAGAGAAACAGGTAGCCTGGCTCTGCCCAAAATCCACCTAACAGCGCTATTGAACAAGTTTTATAACATGTTAATTAATGAGCTTTAGGTGCTAGGTGAGAAAGAGAAAAAGCACATTGCCCAAAATGTGAACTTTTCCTTCAGTATTTTCCTTATTGATTGCGACTGCTCTGTTTGATTTCATATGGGCTAATATATATATTTATTTATTTATAATG